CAAAAGATTTTTTAAGAACGCTTTTCTTCATCAGTATGTCTCTGATATTGTACAGCATTAATAAGATCAATTAAAATAATTTAAACGCTAGAAAACCTCAATGTATCTGTCCAATAGGTATCCACCAAAATACCGACTTTTTGGGATTTTTTCATTTGAAATGCGATATTTTAGCATCCTGAACATTCAGAAAGTATCGGGGACGCAAACAGGAACGAGATTTGCTCTCTAAAGCCAAACTATTTTTTTTTTCTATCTGCTAAGGCTCAGAATACACAGCTGAATGTTTTTTACGCGTTCTGCCTCACCAGCACGCTAAATGATCTCATTTCAAATGACAAAAACCAAAAAAGTCCTAGTAAAAAACGGTCGGTATTTTCGATATTTGGTGTACCGATATCGGTGCATACCTACCGCCTAACGAGTCAGAGTTCCGTGTGCAGATGAAAGAGAGAGAAGAATGAAGGTGAGATCGCCTCCACTCTATCTCAAATGAACCTTTTGACGAAACATTTATGCTGAGCTCGCCTAGTAAAAGCTACTGCAATATCAGAAACTTGTTTTTACAATAGTGTAAATTTGTTCACCATTGAATATACATTGAAAACATTTTTGACTAATATTGTCAAAGGAGAAGAGTGTCTGAAACAGGATGACATAGGACATGTGCGACCATCGCAATTCATCCTTATCACTATCGAGAACAATATGGACTCCTTATGAAGAGATAATTCTAAATATTCAATATTGTTTTGAAGTCTAAACAAGAATATTGTCAGATAGACAAGTAATTAATCCTTAAAATTGAAGGTGACTTTTTAGAAACAAGAAATAGAGTTAATTTTTGAATATGTCATCAATAAAATAAAATCTTAAGTGTAGCGAATTTGAAAAGTTAGAGGTAGACTTGTATGTTGGTAGGAGTTAGAAAATTACAAAAAACAACGCATGACTTCGTTTATGATCAATCCCAAAATAGATGATACAAATAAGTATAGTTTTTTTTTATCTCACATATATTCTGGGTTTGAATGTAATTATGGTGGTGATTATGATAAAAGTGATTATTTTAATGAATTAAGAACAAATACAGATAAATATATTTATAAACGAGATGATATTAGAAATTGGTTAATGGATTTAAAAATAAAATATGGAAAACATTTATTTGTTATAACAAATAGTAAATATAATTATACAGAATTATTAATAAATTATGCATTTGGATCTGATTGGCATTCATTATTTGATTTAATTATTGTTAGCAGTAAAAAACCAACATTTTTTGATCAATATAAACCATTTTATAAATGTGATAATGAATCTGAACCGATTAATGATCTAAGAGAATTATGCATAGGTAACGGCATCTATTCTGGTGGAAATAGCAAAGATTTACAAACAGCTTTTAAATATATTACGAACTATGGATTAAAAACGAATATTAATGATGTTGAGTTAAATAATAGAAAATCGGATGAACGTGAACCCATTATTATTTATTTTGGAGATAATATACAGGTTCGTGTTAAAAAAGATTTCTTACACAAAAAAGGTATACCAGACACAGATTTAATGCTGTTAAGCTAAATGTCAAAGTCTAAAGATTTTTAAATGTAGAGAGTTCACTATATTTCAAGTCGATATCAGAAACGGGCTGAATTGTTTTTGAGTTTTCTTTGAAAATAATCCTTCAGTTATCAGCAAATGTAAATTCAAACTTGACGATATAATGAATGATATTATAAGAAAGAACATATTTGTTCTCAAGTAGATTGTTATTTACGTATCATGGAAAAGGCGTATCAACAAAATTTGGTTTGCGTCAAGTTTGAAAGTACAAATATCTTCGATCGTATATTACACAAAATTAATTTTTTATAATTGAGTACGATCTTTGTTAAAGACTTCCGAGCGGACCTGGCCTTCAACAAGAAAATTTTGTGAAACCTTCAGATTTGACTTTTCTTAAAAACGAACTATAATTCGGATAGCTACTTACTTCGGATTTTGGCGAACAAGCGTTTTTGTTTATATGGAATAAGAGAGCCGCCAATATTATAATGTAGAATGTTTAGCCCAGTCTCTAATGTTTCAAGTGACAGAAAAATACACAAAATAATTCGTTTTGTCGCTTTTATTGATTTGTTTCTGATATCTTATCCAAACGAGGTCTAAATTATTCTGATAAGTTTCTAATGCTTGATTTTTCGTAGTTGCAAGATTTCTCAGTGGCAAAAGGTCCTGTAGAGATCACGAAGATCTTAAAATGGCCAAAGTGCATGTGGCTAGAGGCTACTTGAGTTATATTTTTGATGTTTTACTTTACCGATTGACGGTGGTTTGGAAAGCGAAAAAGGTTAAAAACGCTTTTTAATATCTCTACGAAAGATATCTGACAGAATAAATAGATCATATCACCGAAAGAAAAAAATGAAGGTGATTTTGAGTTGCTGGCAAGTGCTTTTTTGTATTCTCGATGGATCAAACAGCGGGTTTCTTTTGATTTTCATTGGCGCCTTTCTTTTTTCATCGAATGAGAAAAATAAAATTTAGGCAAAAACCATGTAGATTATGTCGACGTCAAAGAAGAAATCAAAATAAAATCAAAAAGAGCCCGCTATCGAATCCACCGAGAAATTTTACAATTGGTACTCAGTTTTAATCCAATTTAGTTCAGCGCGGAGAGTGCACCAAACTTTTCTTTGATTCACTTTTCCAAGGCTTTTGGAAAACCTCTTTGTTGAAGATCAAATAACTATGAATCCTGATACCTGTAAATTAATCTAGAATTCTTTTTTCTCTTACTAAATGTATATATTGCGGCAGAAATTGGAATTCTAAGAATTAAAATTTCAATTTCTACTAGTGACTATCAAAGTGAGATATTTGCATATGTGATGAAGTCTGGGTTCTTATCGATTAAAGTCTTGAAAACAAACTACCAGTACAAAGAGTATGAGAACAAGATTATGACATTAGGAGAACGTTTCTAAATATGAATGTGAGTGAGAAAACAATTTTCAAAGAATAATCGATTTGACGACTAATAAAGCACGCGCAATTTAAGGCTCCCTAGCAGCGTTGTTTTCTCAGTCACTCTCACATTTTCTTTTTTTTCACCGTTGCAAACTCTTTGAACATAAATAACGCAAAAGTTGAAGATCGATTAACTGGAAGACTTAACCTTTTTTACTTGTTGGCTATTGGATAGAAATAACAATGTATATGTCGCAGGCGAAATTAAAATTCAGGAAAATTTAAGATTCTCCTAGGAAAAATTAAAATTTTGATTTTGCCTAGGAGAAAGTGAAATTTTAACTTTTCCTTAGGGAGATTTGAAATTTTTCTAAACAAAAATGTTGAAGTTAATATTTCCAATAGGAAAAAGAAGAATCTTAAATTTTCCTGAATTTTAATTTCGCCTGCTTACATATACATTGAGTAAGAGAAAAAGCATTAATTAGAGGCTACTCTACAAAATAACCGACAAAACTGTCGATAAATCATTAATTATCTATCGATTCGTTTGCTCTGTTTGCTTCATTTCCTCCGATCATTATTTTTACGGCTATTCCCAAATTCTTCTACAAAGTTTCGCGCTCTAAACACGAATTTTTGAACATCCCAGTACGACAGTCAGAATCTATTGTTAGATATTTTTATCTGTAGATCCTCATCAATGATATTTTTTTTAATCATAATGCCACTCAATTCTACTTAGAAATTTCTTTGTTTTTAGAGTGATATAGTGCCAGTAAAAAAACATACAAACTGGTTGACAGCTGCAATTATTGAAGAATTAGAGTACGAATTACCGCCTCAGTTTAACAGTTCAACACATAAACACAAATCATCATCACATAAAAATTCAATGAATGTATATAAAAAATACGCAAGTAGTAAATATTTTCATCCATTTTTGAGTTCTCCTAATGAATTATTACAGCTTGAAACTCAGCAACAACAAACCGAACCTGATATTTTAATTCAATCAATTCAGCAACCAAATAATGTTAATAATGGTTACACTGCTTCTTATTGGCATGCTTTAATAAGTAAACATGCTCATATTAGTTTATCATGCTTAAGCGTTTTAACTGACATAGAACACGATATGAAATTCGAATATCAATCAGGAACTGATCATGTCTTTCTCATACATGGTTGAGAAAAATGGTCCACATGTTCAAAGAAATGAAAAATTGTTAATACTCAATGATTCAATATACTTGTCTAATGCACTATAGAACAATTTTTCTTGTCTATCAGTTGTATTAATAGTGATAAAAGAAAGATGGAGGTAATGATATTGATAGTGTCATATTAACCCTTTAAGGCCCAATGTCCATTTGAATGGACATTGCCGTTATCATTATAACAAACTAAGAAAGCATTGTTGGGAAAAGCTGATCTTATATTGGTTGTAGAGAATTAAATTGGCTATCGAATAATAAAATAAAATTTATGTTGTATGCTAGCTGACGAGGGAACCTGTCGAGGTTATAAATCGCTTTTTGATCGAAATTGGGTGGGATATAGGTTATCGACCATGCTGATTCCGAATATGATTATGGAAGTTTCCCATGGTCGTTCGAAGATCCGCTTGACTGGAAAATCAGTATTTCAGAAGGTCTAAATAATAATCAAAAACCTGCTTAATGAGACAGAATTGTAGCCCGGAATTTTCTGATCAAAATGAGACATCTCCCAGCTCTACATGATGTTTCTTTGCAAAGTTATAGAATTCACAAGAAAAGCCCTAAATGTTCAAAGCTACAGAAATAACAAGAAATTAATTTAGGGCGTTTCTTCTAAATTCTATAACTCTCCAAAGAAAGGTCGCTTAGAGGTGGGAGATGTCTCATTCTAATAAGAACTTTTTGGTCTGCTATCATGACTTATTAAGAGAAAGTTACAATAAAATGGGAAACTTCCATAATCATATTGGGAATCAGCATGGTCGATAACCTATATCCCACCCAATTTCGATCAAAAAGCGATTTATAACCTCGACAGGTTCCCTCGTGAGATATTCAAATTTTAAAATAAAGAAGATTTAGAAAAAATTCACTTTTTTTAATTTACTTTTTTCCGGTGCTTTAGAAAAGGCTGTTTGTTCAATGGTTTTTCAGAAATATGTGGGGATATGTGCTCTTTCAAATTTTGTCAGCTGAATAAATTATGGCATAAATCAAGATTAAAATCACCTTTTTACATGTTGAAATGGCCATTTCAAATTGAGACGTTTCGCCTTTATTCTAAAGACACCATCAGTCAACTGATGTACAAAAAATAACTTCTAACATAGAAACAGACAATAAAACACGTGTAGAGCATAAAATATTTTCCTTTTGTTTTTCACTCTCCTTCTAGATCATATGTAAAATGATTCATCTCAAAAAATATTCAGCATAAAAGCTTTTTGGGAATATATAGTTCTTATTCCCTTTTTCGTATGAATGTCCATGAGTAGACTCTCTTTTATCTCTCTCTTTAGTTTATGAGATTCTATAGCGAGTATTCCTGAATTCCAGTTAGTTCTATGTCCACTTGCCAACCCATGAATGGCAATCCTTGAGAAACCTTGCCCATAAAATGCTTGCTGATGTTCTTCTTTTCTTTTCTTCTCTCCTCTTGCCGTCTGCCCAATATAGGTATTAAAACAGCCACAACAATCATACTTATACACTACTCTATTCTCATTGATCGTGTTCTTATACGTTCGTCCAAACACAGAAGTCACCATTTTCATCGGGTGAGAAAGAAGCTTTTTCAATTGATTTGCCAGTTTTTTGAATAAATTATTGTTGGAAACTGCAGGCTGCTGATGGTACAAACCGAAAGTTTTTCAAGTTCAGTCAAAGAAATATGTTCCTCGTCTTCCTTGGACTTCGTTAAACCATCAATGTTCTGTTGCACCAATTTGAAAATAACGTATAACAGAGCCAGAAAAAGTACGGTGATCGTAATATAACGTCATCGATACATAATACTGTTAACGGTTAATATACATTCCGAATAGGTAAC